TAATATATATATATATATATATATATATATATATATATGTCTGTGTGTTTCCTATACAGTTTTGTCTATGACTTGGTTAATGACATTACTATTTATGCATTATTCATTGTATGCTTTACCCAAAGACCAAGATTTTGTAATCATTGCTAAAATGAAAGGTTTGGTATAGTGTAGTTACCCCGCTACTTGGAAATGTCTGTACATGTGCAGTGTAGTGAAAGCTTGATGTGAATGTGAGAGAGAGCTTTTAAAAGCTTGCTGACTTTGTTAAAGAGCTTACATTTTGAATGCCAACTTTTTTACTTTCAGATTTAAGAAAAAAACTTTTAACTAAAATAGCTTATGGATAATATAAATCAGTGATTGTGAAATAAAAACTATTTTAAAAGTATTAAGGCTGATTATTATTAAACATAATCTGAGCTACAAAGGCAAGAAATTAAAGCATTACACAAATGGTATATAACAATATAAAATTCACTTTGAAATTAACTCAGCACACTCTTGCTTACTACCTCTAATCTGTTTTGCTACTCGCTATCCTGCTTTGTCAGACTGAAAATTAAGCTGTTAAATGTCAGTTATATACATTGTTACTATAAAGCATCTTTATATTTATATTTTGGAGAATTGCTTCTGTTGGCTAAATACACATGAATGAAGAAAAGGAAAAAAAAATAAATATATATAGATATATCTGTGGGGGAGAGAGGGGAGCTGGTGGGCGGGGATGGAGCACTGCCACCCAGTGCCCCACAGTGCTGCCACTCCACCTCTGGCCTTGTGCACCGGACCCCCGTGTCCCCACCCCTGCCTCCTGTGTCTCCTCACCACACCACGTCTGTCCCTGTGGGACCCCCTGCCTCCGGCCCCACAGGGCTCCCCTCACCCCTCATCGCTCCTGGTGCGGCCCTGTGCGTGCCCCACACACCCACTGCTGCTCCACCCCGCACTGCTACTGGCTCTCAGGTATGGTGAGCGGGAGAAAGCTTGCATGGCCACTGACACCCAGCAGTATGCAACATGCCTCTACTCCCCCTCTCCTCCCTCCCTCCCTCCCTGCCACCTCCCCCTCTCTACTGGCTGTTGGGGCCAGGCAGTGGGGGCAGTAGAAGTGGGGTGGCGGTGCCACTGGAACCCCCCTTTTCCCACTCCATTTCCCCTCTTCCTCCCTTCTTCCCTGCTGCCTCCCCTTCCCTGACAGCTGTTGTTTGGGAAGGGAGTGGAGGGCAGTGGCTCCCTCAGTACCTCTGTAATGGTCTGAGCCCTCTCAGCCAATTGGCACATGCCCTCTCAGCAGCATAGTTGACCTGGAGTATTATGGACAAATAGACTCAAGTTTCCTTCTCTTCACTATTGATATGTCCATTTTTAATAGGTTTACCTTTTGACAAATTTTCTCATGTGAGAGTTCATTCTCAAATGATGAGGTAGCTGGGAAAGAGCATTTATATTTTTTATATGTGAAACTGAGCTTGGTGTCTGAATATTATTGGCCTTTAAATCCTTTTCTTTTTCCCCCTCTAGATCGCTCAACATTTCTATCTAGACAGTTAATAGAACAGGACTGAGGGAAAGGATTTTGAGGCAAGGACTTAGAATAATAGCTGTCCATCACAGTCCCCTAGGGTCAGGTTGAAGGAGGCAGGGTACTGTTTCAGTGCACTATTGCTAACTCCCACAGGCTGCATCCCTACAAGCAGAGGCGTATGGTTGCCTCAGAGAAAAAAGCAGTGGCACAAATTCGTGCTGCTGCTTTTTGCCCCAGCACGTACCACTTCATGTGTGGTTAGTGTGGGGAAAAATGTTCCAGGTGGGGTACGGGAGCCTGGAGCCAGCACCTGGATTGGTCCCAGCAGCCTTACCTGGGTGCCTCCTGGGGCTCCAGCAGTGGCAATCTGGGCACACAGAGCCTGGCCAACAGCCAGAGCATGGCTCTGGCCAGCCAAGCTCTGGTTTCAGGCAGTGCACGCTGCTGCCACCTGTGCCATGCTGCTGCCACCTGTGCTGCCCTAGTTTTTTCTGCATGCATTTTTTCCTGATACTGGGATTTCCCAGTACTTGGCTCTGCTCTGTAAATATGCAGTGCAGAGAACCAAACCACATGCACAGGGTTGAAAAAATTTTTGAGGCATCATGAAACGTGCACACTCGTGTGGGTCACTATATCTAAGAAAAAACAGTAGCCTCCTCTCAGAAAATTATAAAAGCTGACAGAAGGATCCTGAGAAATGGGAATAGTTTCATTTGCAGTTTACTTGCTGTCACTTATAACATTACTTTCCATGCTTTTTTCCATTTAAGCAGAAATTATAGCTGGTTCATGAAAAAGTATAGATATTATGGAAGAGATTGTGGCTTTCCTTTCTCTCCTTGAGGTTCACAGATATTTAAAGTTAAACACAATCCATGTGTTCACTGTTTAAATACATCATCCTAAATGCATGAGCTAGAGTATCGTATTGCTGTTAGATCACTTTGTGAAAAATTCAGTGATCTTCTAGAGAACTCAGAACTGTAATCTACACCAATTCTGTTACCAGAAATGTTTCGTCACATAAGATGAAAGCTTGCTGACAAGTGTTTAAAGTGCAAACACTCATTCTCTCCATCATTGTTTAAGTATTTTCATAAAGTTGCCTAAAATGTAGCTAGAACTCCAAACATTAGTGTATTAATCGCTCAGTATTCAGTCAGCTAAAGTTCAGGTTTTTAGTTGTTTTTATGAAATGTTTATAAAGTAATTTTGGACTTGCACTGCTAGTTACCCTAACACTCTACCTTATCATCTGTTTCTCTTAAGATGCTATGCACTTATTTACCCACCTACCACATTCACCTTTGCCTCTTAAACCAGTGATTGAAAATTGGGGTGCATGCCTTTAAAGGAGAAAGTGATTCTAAACAGTTGGGTTAAAGGGATTGTTTTCTTCATTCTGCCTTCTCAAAACAAGGTGTGTGTTGTTCTTGGGACATGGTGTGTGGGGGGATAATCGGGTAGTTACTGGACAAATTGTCCTTTGCATATACAACTGAACTCTATCTCTACATGGTTAAAAGTCCTAAGTGTTAAACATACTACATCTTCCTTACATTCCACATACATTGATAAAGATTTAAAAATTGCATACAGATGTTCTGACGTGAAATCTGTAACAAATAACTAAGATGGTTTCAGTTCATAAAATGTATTTTGTGGGTCATCTTGGGATATGGGTACTGGAATGCTCCAGGGTGTAAACCAACAGTTTCAACAACTGATAACAGGGATCCTGGTTTTCCCTGATTTTAAAAAAATCACAAATTCTCTGATAAAAATTAAAGGCCTCCCATGCCCCCACCAGTCTGGCTAGTGTCCCTCACTCCCCCCCACAGCCTCCCAAGCCCCACACGCACAGGCACATAGACAAACATACACACACCCCAGCAGGTAAGTATGAGGGGGGGGATGGGGGGAAAGAAAGGGGTTGG